CGTTTATCCAGCAACAAAAGCCAATGTCATTACCATTTCCCAAATGTTGCTTAAGGGCATTCTTCAACTGCCCTATTGTCTCGTCCTCTTTGATGATGTCTGTTCTCTAATCATCACACCCTTCTCCTTTTATGTATATTTTATGTGTCTACCAGCTGCCCACATACCACCATATATGTATATTTTATTGTGCCTTTCATTTGGGGCCATCCAGGCACTAGGTGTCCTTGCTTCTTTTTCTAGTGAAACGACTCAACTGCCCTTGCGTTTAGGTGAACATTTCTGCAGCCTAAAAGTTGCTACTACGAACTGTGTCCAACAACCAGCAGGTAACACAATCGAGAGAATGTCCAGAGAAACAGGCAAAGTGAGATTTGTTTGTTGCCACAAAAAAAGAACAACATTCAGTGCTTGACATCCCATCTGATATGATGTACGAACTACAATTACTAATAATAAATACTTTGCTTAAACCTTCAAATCTTGATGCACACTCCTACATGATAAAAACTGGCATGTATTTGCTCAATGCATTGATGAACAGACCAAGCACTCCAACACATCATTCGTACATGTCATCTGGTCCAAGATTGCGGTACTAGCAATCGGCCTGTTCGCTGGTTGGTGCTGGTTTGGACTGGCTGGTGCTGGGTTTTTTTTTAAGAAAAACACTGTTGGCTGACTGGTTTAGGCTGACTAAAACCACCGAGCGAACGTCACATGACATATTTCTGGTGAGCGAGCAGCAAAGCCCCATCCAGCTGACCAGCTGTGAGATGGGAGCAGTTGCGAAGAACCAAATACACCATCGTACGTGTGCAGTGCAGTGTACCACACACAGAAAAAAAATGGGGTAGACAGCTAATAAAATCCAGGATCCAACTGGACATATTAGATTGGAGCGCTTGTCCCCATTATCCCACATCGACAATGGCACCCACCAGTCACAGTCACAGGTACCTCGATCAAGGCATGAAAACAAATTTTGCTGATTCGGTCAGATGCATGCAGCAAAATTCATCCCAGATTACTGACACCTCAACTTACTGACATCTCAGATTCACCTGAATTCAACTGGTGCCAAAAATAAGATTCCAACTTCCATGTCATATTTATCAAATACAATACCCCTATAAAGCTGGGATTCCCATCTCATCTGTGTCAAAAAATATTATTTTTTTTAGGACTCCTGCACTTTTCTGGTCTAACAGAAGGCAAGGCACAGAAAACACTTGAGCAAAACCTTTGCTTGTAGTCTACATCAGAAGGTTAGGGAAGCAACCCCCCACCTTATTTCTGTTGGATTGTGCAGTTATTTGAATTTGTGGATTCTTTTAGCCGCCTCAAGTGTGTTCGACAAAAGCATTGCAATTGTCATTGGCCCAACACCTCCTGGAACTGGTGTGATTGCTCCGGCAACCTTGGAGGCTTCCTCATAACAAACATCTCCGACGAGCCTATAACACCGAGGGCTTTCTGGGTCCTGCAGCATTCCAAATCACTAGTAAGCAAATCACCAAGAAAGTTACATGAAGCCACAAAGAGCTAGGAAAAGAGAGTGCCACTCTAATATGCAGAACATAGTTCGGATACGACAACATACAGAACCAAGCTCATGGATAGGACAAATCGAAATTTAAAAGTATTAATTGATTGATCATCACATGCTGCACAAGCATATAATAAAATCTGAAGAAATATCACCTGGAACACTCTAACATGGGGCTCATAAATTTAAGAAGCCAATTTCAGTATTAATAAATGGATTCTCATTGGGGGCACCATAAGGGTATGTAGGTCCTGGCAGATTAAAGTTCTGTGAATCTGAAGTCCTGGACCAAACAAAGTAACAAAAACTAAGGTGCCAGGTGCGACAAATAACTTCCTAACAATTTTAAAGAAAACTGCAGGAACACCAGTAGTCCTGTAGGTCACACTAACATAGTGGAATTCAAAGGGGCCATCTAGCATTGGGAATTTGCATTTGAAGGTGGTTCACGAAATTTTTCCATGTACAAACACGCATCCAGTTAACACACCTCCTTAGCATTAAATGAACATGACTGAAAAAAATAAAGGTGTTAAGAACAAGAAGTAGGCATTTTGGTCTTAAGGAAGTTGGGTTAGGCCACAGAAGAAACCCAAAAAGAGCCACACAAACCAAAAAAAAAAGATAGAAATAACATAAAAATAGCAACATACTACAGAGTAGTGATTAATTAAAAAGGGTGCTGGGAACAAGAAAAAATGGGTCTTACATCAACTGGATTGATGCCAACATCAATAATAGTTGCTCCAGGTTTTATCCAATTCTCTCTGACCAAGTTGGCAACTCCAACAGCTGCGATGACTATATCTGCCTGTCGTGTTATTTTCTCAGGGTTCTTAGTTTGTGAATGTACAATGCTGACAGTTGCATTTGCTTTCTGATAATCATATAAAGAAAGATTAATCAGACACAATAATAGAATTGTTAAGCTATTTGAAATAAAGAAGAACTAGTTCATACTTGCAACAACAATGCAGCAGGCATTCCAACAATATTGCTTCTTCCGATTACAACAGCTCTCTTCCCTTTAATCTCAACTCCATATCGGTGTAGCAACTCCATGCATCCTTTTGGGGTGCAAGGTACAAAGAACGGATCTCGACCTTGCATTGCAAGTCGTCCAATGTTCAGTGGATGAAAGCCATCAACATCCTTTTCAATACTGACAGCATTCAAAATGGTCTCATCGTTCATATGCTGCAAATGATTTCACAGCAGATATGTGATTGTTTGGTGGACGAAACTATTCACTACTTTATACTAACAGCATTCAACATTTTATCAGCATTCGCATGTTGCAACTTACTATCTAGCATCGGATAGCACATATGTATGTAACAAAGTTCTGCATCTTCATAAAGCATCATAGTTATCATAAGAATGATGGCAACTAACTCACGAAAAATTAACCGGAGGGCTACATGTAACACTTTCAGGACACAAAAAATGTTATTCAGTAGGATAAGATAAGGAGGCATATCGTGCACCATAGGAAAATGATACCATTTAAAAAGCCTGAGCTGGATGTAGCATGCATAAAACATATTACCCTGGTATGCCATATACTCATTAAGATGCAAAATAAAGTAGTAAAACTTAAATATTCTAGTTGGTGGTAACTACAAGCAGAATCACAACTCTAGATTCCTATTAGGTGGGTTACATATACTAGCCAATCGAGTCATGACAATCGAACACTCACACGAGGTAAGGGCAACTGAACCAAGATGCCATGCACGGACGGGTCACTGTTGAAGCTCGCTATGTGCTTGATAACCTCCTCCTCAGAGCTGTCCTCAGGCAAGTTCACCTCATACGACTTTATACCGACCGCCTCGCACGCCTTCTTCTTGTTCCGCACGTAAGTCTGTGAATCCTTCCTCGATCCGACAAGGATGACCACAAGCCCAGGCACTATACCGATCGCATCCTTCATCCTGGTGACTTCAACGGCTATTTCTTCTCTCACTTGCTTCGCCACAAGCTTCCCGTCAATCACTTTGGCAGGCGCATCGGCTGAGACGGTGGCTACATGTGAAGACGAATCAAAAGGTTGCAGAGTCAGAGTGACATAAGTTTCATTTGCGGGTACACTTGAAACTGATAAATAGCCATTCCTTCAAGGGAACACATTCTCTGCACCATTTTCAACATCATCACCTAACCTAAACTTCCTTCAATACAAGCAAGGCCTATCGCCTAGCCAAAAGGTTTCACCTATTTCACGACGCCCAAAATTCGACAGAAAACAGTAGTAGTACACACTAGCATGTCAAAACGTTATCTGAGCTGAGCTGAAGCGCCCAAGAGCAAGCCAAGCAAGCGCACCTGAGTCGGCAGAAGAGGCGATGGCGGCGGGGGCCGAGTCCATACGGCGCGGGCGCGGGAGCAGCTGGGGCCGGGCGGCGACGAGGAGGCGCCTGGGGTGAGCTAGAGCCGGGCAGGGGCGGAGGCGGGGCGCCCACGGCGGGAGGAGCGCGCGGCGGAGAGGAAGGAGGCAGGCCGAGGAGCAGTCGGAGAGTATGGAGGACGCCATGGCTAGGGTTTACGGCCCCGGTGCTGTGGACTGGAAGCGGCGGCGGCGGCGGCGGCGGCGTGGTTTTCGCGGGGGAAGAAAGAGGAGGTGGACGCACAAAAAGTTGCCTTGCAAAAGGAGAGGGCACAAATCGCTTCGCGTGGCAATTGGCACGCTCTTCGAAGCAGCAGAATAGCCCAAAGCCCAAAGGGTTTGCAAGGTTTAAGGGCCCACTAGTAATAATCGAGTTTTTTTTTGAAAATTCAACAAGATCAAGACACTCGTCATTTAGAAAAATAGAAAAAAAAATACCACGGAGTGTTAACTTTCTTAATCCTCTAGTGAAAAGTTTGCCTTCCTAAGTAACGGAGGTAGTATCTGTACAGTACATGACGGTAGACAAATTTCTGCTCTCCCAAGAAAACTTGCCAGTTTATTGGACTTAAACACCATGTTCGCTGAGTTTATTGGACCTAAACACCATGTTCGCTGGTTGGTTTTTGGGCTGGCTGGTGCTGGTTTGGTGTAAGAGAAAAACACTGTTGGCTGGCTGATTTGAAGCAAACAGGCTAAAAAGAGTATCAACGTACTCAAAATTTAACGTAAAACAATTTTTTATTATCATGTCAAATCACGAGCAACATCCGAGTGCCGAACAGTTTTTTATAATGCTTATGAACACCTGTAACAATCCTGTATTCAGCAAACGAAAAACTGTAGGCACGCAGATAACAGACAGCATCCTCATCTAATAATTCAATATTAACCCCATTACAGCATCAACCTATGATCAAAATTCGCTTTATAAACCACTGAACTTCTGCTACTGAATAGAACCGAACGGTGACAAAACACAGCAAAATGGACAAAACTCTTCAAGCGCAACAGTGCGGGCAGCGTCATCCCTGACCGATATGAAGGCCTCCTGGCACAAGTCTATGAAGCGGCGGGAACAGCAGATTCAGCAGGGGTTTCTTGTTCCTTCGCCAAAGACTCCCAGTCAACCTCCTTGAGGATCCTGAACCGCTCATCTAGAGTCACGAAGTTGGATTGTGGAGTCACCGCGCCACAGATGCCAGCTTTGTGTATTAGGGCTACGCTGCCACCCATGTCAGGCCCATGAAGCTTCCCAGTCAACAGTACTCGGAGGCGGCATGAAGAGCCCTTTGCCCTGGTCATAAATGGGTACAAAAAAAAGGCATCTTAAATGTTTGCTGTTTATAAGTTCACGGCTAGATACAAAACCCTGCTAGGACTGTCAAGGTTTGATAAAATGATTCAGCTGCAATTTGGTAGATCCCTGACAATCATTTCGCAGTGAGATAGGTCACGTGCAAATGAAACCACGGATCAGTGTTAAGAAAGTCAAAAGCACAACAGAACAAAAAGGAAGACGTTATAGGATCACAACATACCTTTCTTTTCGTAGACTTGCCAAAACCTTTAACCCACTTCTGCCAACCATCACGACCCTCACCTAGTGCTTGAGTGAGTTCACCGCTATCATAGGCAGAAATAAGACCTGAAGCAACCTCAGAAATCTTATCTTGCACCATAGGTTTAGCTTCCTCACTGGAGAGAATACAAGCAAATGAGTAAACTATTTACTAAGAAGTCTAAGAGTGTAGCTTGGCATAACAAAAAACTCAATCACAGGAAGCTATCTAGGTGACAACAATGGCAAACCACGTAAAAGGAAATTGTAGGTAAGGGGAGAGACTAGGAATCACAGGTCAACTTTATCCAGTATATTGTTTTTACGAACCTGCTTAAAGTAGCATGAAGGGGATACGATAACAAATTTGTAAGAGCCGCATCAGCATCTGTTATCAAATCAATACCATCCTTCAAAAGCTCGGCAGCTTCCTGAACACAGTATCAACTTTTAAGGTTGCATATGTTAACCTAATTATTAGAAACATTTCAATAAATGAAAGCAAAGTTTTTATTGTGCTTCCAAAATATAAGGCACTATCTTTTTTCCTATTTTATCTTGATAGCTTATAATCTTGTAGTGACAAAACATGTCACTATTGGTCTTTGTGGTATATAATACACCTTTAATATAGGGCGTACCCAGTGCAGAGAGCTCCCGCTCTGTGCGGGGTCTGGGGAAGGGTGTCAGTGGCAAGCCTTGCCCTCGCCTGTGCAATGCGAGGAGACTGCGACTCGAACCCAGGACCTTCCGGTCACAGGCGGTAAGACTCTACCGCTTGCAAGGCCCGCCCTTCATAATACACCTTTAATATGTACTTCCAAATAGGACACCCAAGGTGGACAACAAAATAAAATGGCTTCCAATTTTACCTTAGCAAACCCGCTTTCAGATTCCTGGAGAATGCCTGTGTTCTTCCACCGATCTTCAAAAGCCTTGATGAGTTCATCATGGGGAAATGATCTTAAATGTTGGCCATTCATCCATCTATACAGGTACAGAAGGAAGATCAGTATCAAATTAGACGGGTGGAGTCCCATGAGGGTGCTGCTTTTCAAGGGCATACTGGACAGGCCAAGAGAGTATCAAAAGGACAGAAATTACTGAAAATCTATGTGTGAAACTCATCATAGTGTTTGACGTGTAGCACTATAACAAACCACAGTGAGCAGACGTGAAGGATGAGCATCGGCATATCGAATTTAAGATCACAGTGTTTGTCCATCTTATGCAGCAGGCAATAGCTTGGATGAGGTTCTAGAATCCAGGTGCTTCCTAGCTCGAATCAAAGGGTTGTCCTCGTTGTAATTTTCAAAACTAGCCATTCATTTCACATACAGGCTTCTAGAGGTACTACTGTCAAGCAGATTATCTAAGAGTTGCTCCAAGAAAGTTAGTGGCACTTATAGTTCTCAGATCATTCAAATACATGAGAGTAGGCTTTAAAAGTTAACAAAGATTCAGTGTCGACAAGCTACTAGGTTAAATCAGTTGCACTGAATACTTTGAGTAATTCTATGATTTTGGCAGTTCTGTCACTATCTTTAATACAGAGAAAGTTGGCATATAGAACTTACTTCAATTTTGTTGCATCAAAGACTGCTCCACTTTTATTGACACGATTTATAGTGAATTTCTGGACTGCAAATGAGAAATAGCACTACAGTGAGAATAGCAGTTTTCTTTTTATAGTAATGGGAAACAAAGAACAAAATCTCAGTGAAAATGACAGGAAAAAATATTGAGAACAAACCTAGGTCAGCAATAGTGAAGAACTCATTTTCGGTTCGATCACCCCAGCCCAGTAGTGCTAAATAATTCACCATTGCCTGAGGTAGATAGCCCATCTCTTTATACTGTGCAGAGAAAAGGAAACATCATATTTCATTCTTCTGCCTTGTATAAAAAGAAGATATATCAGCAGAGATGTGAGAAGGAAATAATCGGTAAGTTACCTGCCCAACAGAAGTAGCTCCATGCCGTTTAGACAGTTTGCTTCTGTCAGGAGCCAGAATAAGCGAAACATGAGCAAATGAAGGCATTGTGAATCCAAGAGCCTGTAGAAGACCATAACATTATAGCAAACATAGTTTCTCTGATAACTTTTGAAGTGTCAATGATACAGATTATGACAAACAAGATAAAAGAAGGTAGAGGGTATTACTTTGTAAATTAGAGCTTGCCGCAATGTGTTTGGTAAATGCTCTTCAGCTCTGTAACAAAACAAGGTAAACACATAACTCCAAGGGTGCCGGACATTCAAAAGAAAGACTGAAATGGAGTTTACTTTTTCTTATTACCTGATAACATGAGATATTTGCATGGTAGCATCGTCAACTGTCACACAGAAGTTATACACAGGCTGTCCATTGCTTCTCATAATCACGAAATCACCAAGCGTATCTAAGTTCCAACTGACCTTTATCAAACTATCCGCTGATCAGTGCATGTAATCGCTTTTGACGATATGCAATTATGAACTTACATAAGCTAGTATTAAAAAGCAAGGTAGTCTGAAGCTTAGGTTCCAGGCTTTAACTCATTACCTCACCACGAATTAAGTCATTAATTTTCAATGATCCTTCCTTTGGCACACGGAAGCGGTAAGTGTAAGGTGTCCCTTTCTCTAACTCCTGCTGTACTTCTACATCTGAAGCACTTGCCCACTTCCCCATATACACAGGAGGAAGTTGTCTCTGCTTTGCGACTTCCTTCATTTGCTCAAGTTCCTGAAGAAATGGAAACAATTATCAACTGGACAACATATGAGTACATGAACAGTAGAAAATACTGTACATCCTGTCAGATGACTTCAAAAGTAGTCATTCCTTAGGATTGTGAATCATGGTAGAATCGATTGCTATGAATTTTCTTTAAAACCTAATGGATCAGATATTTTTACTAAAGGTAAAAAATACTTAGAACTCTGCTTCTTATATATTCATAAAGAGAATGAATAGCACATGCACATGTGAAGCTAGGATTGTGGAAACGACTGCATTTGATAACACGGTTATCATGCACATTATGCAAGGGGAGAACAATACCTCATTGGAGCAAAAGCAGCGGTAAACCGCACCAGAGTCCAAAAGCTTCTCGGCATACTGCTTGTATAGTGAATTGCGCTCTGACTGGCGATAAGGCCCAAATTCCCCACCCACATCCGGACCTAAATATGGATGTCCAACAGTTATTTCTGCTATAATTGTATAGATAGCACGCTCTACTCTATGATGATATGATGAAACTGAATATTCATCACAATGCTTGCATACATAACCCTTCGCAAGTGCAGGGAACACGACAATCAAGAGGATGTTAGCAAACAATGTTTTCAAAATCTGCAACCAATTTACCTGCACCTAGAGAGTTCGATTTGTGCTGGCTCCTAAAGCCGCCATATTACATGCGAGTGGCGGCCGGTATTTGTGATATGAGCGTAAATTGTGGCAAAAAATGAGAAGCTAGATCTACGAAGCAGTAATGGTCAAGTTATAAGCACAGATACAATCGCAGGACTGCGAGGTCAGAAAATGTGACAGGCACAACGCTAGGCCGTCAACGAGACGACACGCGATTCATAGTGGTGAAAGCGCGGCGCAAGAAGAGAAGATAGAGCACCTTCGTCCCATTCGAGGCCGAGCCAGGCGAGGTCGGCGAGGACGGCTTCCTCGGACTTCCGGGTGGAGCGCTCGAGGTCGGTGTCCTCGACGCGGAGCACGAAGCGTCCCCCGTGGAGCGCGCGAAGAGGTAGTTGAAGAGCGCGGTGCGGGCGCCGCCGACGTGGAGGTTGCCGGTGGGCGACGGCGCGAAGCGGACGCGGACGGGGCCGGGGCTGCCGCTGGCGCGGGTGGCGGAGGCGCGGACGGAGAGGGCCCGGCGGAGGTGGAGGTGGAGGTGGCGGAAGGGGCGCGCGGGCGCGTCCGGGAGGAAGCGCATGCGCAGCCACGGCGACCCCGTCAGCAGCGCGCTCGCCGCCATCTCACCCTTTCTGAGGATTGCGAAGACGAGACGACCAAGTGGGAGAGGATGATGGATAGGGAGGGCGGGGTTGGGTGTTGGGGGCCCAGACGAGATGGCGAGCAGATAGCGGGCCGTGGGTAGCCCACGACCGGCGCAGAAGGAACTGGGGGGGGGGGTTCTACTGACACAAATGGCCCATGTGGTAGAAGTGAGGATATGCTTTTATCAGGAAATCTGAATCACGTCCGGCTGACATGTGGGCTCCAGCGGTTAAGGGAGAGAGAGGGAAGGAGGGAGGTTGATGAGGCATGCACGATCATTTCTCAACAAGAAACAAATCTCGATCAGAAACAATAATTAAGTAGAGTCAACATTGCAAGATCAATGACTATGCTAATTGATTTTAATACATGTGAATATACACAAAAAAATACCCTTATACATGACGGTTTACTTTGGTCATAGACAAGCAAAAATACGTCACAGTTAACTCACGATGACGATCGCGAAAAACGTCATGTATCCCACATCGTACATTTGCTGGACCGAATTGAGCCGTCACATATGGGCATTTCTGTCCGTCATGAATTAGTTGTCCGTCTCCTATAACCAGCTCAGATCCAAACCATAGTGACGAAAAATAACATCACAAATTAGTGCCAAATCATCATAGCAATAACGATACAATCAACATTAATCTTGTCACACACTAAGACACTCATGAAACACATAAACTGGAACAAAGCTCACAATTGACAGAACATTGCTCATCATTTTCATTGAAACCATCAACATTTGTTTTTGTATAAATTTCCACAGGAAATACTAAGGCAATAACCAAGCTACACTCAAGTACCTACAAAACTAAGATGTTGGCTTATACAGCACACAACTCATATGATTTGCTCAGACAACAAAATCCTTCGTAACTAACGAAAATAGTCAACATGAGCACCTTGATCCTCTTGCCGTAATTCAGAGAGCACAAATTTGGTCTTAGCTAACAATCCATTGGTTTTGCGTTTGAAGAGTGTGGCAGAACTGTTTAATCTAATGCGTCTCAGGAGTACTTCCATTAGACACTAAGTTTCCAAGAGATGACACTAAACTACGCAGTTTCATCGAGCACACCCCAAGAGAGAACTCGAAAATCCACATTTTTTATTAGGATCATAAAGGAAAGAATAAAGCTTACAACATTCTTAAGTCATTTCTTACATCACTATATTACAGTACTAGAATATCACCTCAATTTATTATAACAGCGGAATGTAACAATGTTATCAGAATTACAGAGAAAGTATGATTAATTTAAGGACATGGTGGAGGATTGACATAGTGGACATTTTTATACAAGAGATGCTAGCAGATTTTACATCTTTTCTTATAAAAACATTTCGTGAGGGTTATAAATAAACACTACGGTTGTAGCATGAAAGGAATCCTCTCTAAGCCCACCAGGAGGTTTCCACACATAAGAGTCAGCTCTAAGTATCCTCCAATCATCTGCAACAGGGGAATAAAACCCTGAGTACTCGATTGTACTCAGCAAAACTTATCCGATAGGAGGAAAATAAAAGACTCCAAGGATATGCAAGGCTATTTTGCTTGTGGGTTATTGCATCCGCGGAATCATTACTAAAAGTGCGTCCTTATATTCAACTTCATTAGTAGTCATCATTAATTCGTTAACTGACCATTCTATGTAAGCACCTATGCTACTTTTAAGCAGGTGGTAAGCAATCATAACAATTTTACCATATTTCATATTCCAGTTTTTACTATGATGCTAGACCATAGCCAAGTCGGTACCGTCTCATAGAAACGGCGATTCATGAACCAATGTATCCCAGCTGGGTACCCCGAAACACACGTCATGTTTGTACCCCAGGCACAAACAAGACCAACCCATTCTACTCCTGTCACGGGGTCTAGGTCCTCGTCCGAACTTGGACTCCAAGCCCCCACACTTGAGACCCAGTCTCAGTATGGTGTTTAGACCTCCACCTTTCCCCGCCTCCAATCAGTTGGTCTGGAAAGAGTCGGAACCCACTACAAGAGCGTAACGAGCCTTTTCGCTCCCATAAGAAAGTATGTGCTCAGGATAATAAGTCTATGGCCTGACTACCATCCACAGCAATGGACGGTTCTCAATCGACACAGGCGGAACAAGTATAATCCGAGCCTCGCTCAAATGCTTAACCAAGTCCAGATCCAAAGTACCATTCCGTCCGATCTCCAATTATCATTCATATATATTCCATGTGGTAGTAACAACAATATATTTCCTATCTCTCGCGAGTGACAGGTAATCACTCGACTTCTACCGGACCCTATAGCATAGTAATCTACATGATCCTGACATACTAGTACGACTCATAGGATAAGGATATATATATGCAAGTGGTTTTCATTCAACTCCTTAAAACTTAATGCACAATCATAAAAGATAAAGTGCAGAATAATAGAAATTATGCACCGGGGCTGGCCTAGGCAAGATGTAAACAAGGATTAGCATTCCATTATGGTGACACGATCATTAAGGTACAATCTTTTCTGCTACTCCAGATGACTTCATAATCCATCGTTGTTCTTATTATGATATATGTGGATGCAACGTAGAAAACGTAATTAATCAACGGCAATCGTAACTCTTAAAATACGTTGACGCCTCTCAAGCTAACGAGCTAGCTCTAACGGCTAACGCACCAGGCTACGTGTCCACATGGTCGAGTAAGGCGTCGTTTCCCAGAAAATATTTTAGTTCTACGACCCCAAGATGTTTCGGCATTTTATTAATTAAATATATATATATATATTTGAACTAGGGCTTATTTAGCTACCTTTGCAAACTAATTATTATGGAGCTAAAAAAGTACAGTGAGCCTATAATAATACAAGGAACTTACTGTAAAATTTTTAGAATTAACACAAGCACTTGATTGATCATAAAAATTCCTACAAGTTCATATTTTAATAATATTAAAGCATGTTAAAGTATTTAGAGCAACCTTGAAATATTTTAGAGTTATGTGAACCAAACACACTAGCAGATAGATTATGATTTTAGAAACCTAACAAAATTAGTTTCATAATTTTTTGGACTCTTAAATGATTTTATATTTAAATAACAAAATCAGCCTAGAATTTATTTTAGAAAATCTTTACTAATTCACTAGAGAACGAAAAGGGCACCGAGGCCCACTCAGCCTAGGGCGAGGTGCGGCCGCGCGCGGCATCGCCGGCCCAGCAACAACCCAAGGCGGGGAGCCCGTGCACGCTGGTAATCTTGCAAAAAGGCCCCGGATACTAGAAGAACTACGCAATGCAACGTGTTCCTATTCCAATAGAGAGAGGATTTGCACTCAGCACCCTGCAAAGACTCATCTTTGCAACGGGCATGCCCCCGAGCACGCGTGCACGACGGCGCGGCGCACCGACGGCATACGGCGGTTACGCCAGCCAACGGCAGGGTTAGCCGGCGACCGGAAGGGGTCGAATACCTAAACCTAAACAAAGGGGGACCCTAGGAGGTGGCTTGGTGACTAGCGGGGCCCTACAGCGGCCTGCCACAACGACAGGTGGAACAGCGCCGTTCACGGCGTTGGCGTGGCTACTCTGGTAAGCTAGAGCGACGGTAAGACAAATAGGGAGGCGTGGGAGCACCAGGAGCTTACCACGGTTCTAGCCAAGGTGAAGGTCGAGGCTGAGGAAGGAGGAGCCGCGCTGGCCACGTACGAGCGGGCGGTGAGGCGGCACTCCGAGCACGGCACCTCAGCGTCAGCACATCGCTGATAGTCCCTCTAGTGGAACTAGTGTGCGCATGAGGTTGAGGGGGCCAAGGCAGGCTCATAGGAGCAAGTAATCGAATCGCTACCGAAGCATACCGGCTTACCCCCGACCGAGTTAAGGCACGGCGGCGGAGGCGACCGGCGGTGAGGAAAAATATGAAATTGGTCAGCAACGGAGCTTGGCTGTGGCTCGGGGCGGGTGGCTCGGCTAGACAACTCTATGGCGGAGCTATAAGTGCGACGAATCGAGCTCTAATGAACTGAGGCGCGTGATTTTCGAATCCTCTGCGGGAGGGGACGTCGGCCTGTCATCCATGATGGCGGTGATGGCTTGCGACGAGTCCCGTTGGTGCGGCGGTCTCCATAAATGGGCACGTAGGGAGGGTAGAGCGCGGGCAGGGAAACGCCACAGTGGTTGCCTTGACTCTCTAGCTGGACACGACTAACCCTTATACCATTGCAAAGCACTCATCAAGATGCAAATCATCAGGCCAAAACATGACACTAGTTTTTAATTCCATTTTTTGGGATTTGAATGCCAAAATGGCATTATCATTATAATTTTAGACATGAGAGAAATCTAGGGTTCAGTTTGAACTAACAATCCTTAACACTTTTGCCTAAACTTTTAAAAAGGTCTAAATCCAATTTATTTCACCCAATAAGCATCTCATGTAATAGTCCATACTTTATACTAATCTTATGGAAACAAAACATTTAGGCACTATTTAATTAGTTTGCTTAATATAATTTAACAAAATTCGCACTTTAAACATAAGTTCAAATGTTTGCCGACTTAACGAAAAGAGTTTATCTTAATTTCAAATTAGGATTTTTGAACTTCCAAAAATATTAGTTAACAACATTTATTCTAAAAAATCCAAGTTGCATTTTGATCTACTAAACTTACACTTCGAATTTTATTTAAGTACTATATACAAGTCGTATTTTATTTTTGTTTATAAAATTTTTTTTTCGTGCCAAACATTTAAAACGACCTATCCCATTTTTTTGTTAGGATTTTCATTAGCATTTTTATGCACTAAGTAAGTTTACTTGGTATATTTAGTTGAGTCCACAAAAGTGAGTCACATAGGATTCGTTTATCATTTTATATGAGTTTTAAATTTTTAAAACCCGAAAACTTGATTGGTTAATCCCTCTTGGGCCTCAATTTCGATGCTAAGCAAGCTCATAACACCAGGGGTGTTACAATCTTCCCCCCTT